CAGTGAAAAGGTCACAGTCTACAACCAAGACAGCTGATGACCAGAAAAAGGAGAGAGAGAGAGAGAGAGAGAGAGAGAGAGAGAGAGAGAGAGAGAGAGAGAGAGAGAGAGAGAGAGGCGCTGATTTATCATCACCAACAGTGATTTTGCAAAAGACTTGAAGCAATCAGGTGATGCTGGCATGCCGTCAATTTTAACTCGATCAGTCACTCGATTATATGATGAAATTTTTTCTATCGATATAATAGAACGGTCAATTGAATTTCGGGTACATTTTCTAACTCTATTTCTAGGAGAAAGTATATCATTCAGACGTCGTGTTCAATTTCATTTTGTTTATGTAATTGATTAAATTACTTTTTTTGCATACGGGGGCTCGTGTTGTTGTATTCTATATCTATGCTCATTTCCCTGTTATTCCATGCATTAATTTCATATCTTATTTTATTGTTTACTCGATCCAGACAATAACACTGCGGTCGATCATCACCTAGATAACGATAACGATTGGGGAAGGTATCTCACATCATCCCACGTGACAGTTTGCTTGTTTCCATCGCTATAAAAGTGCTCTCACTCCTTATTAAACATTTTCCTAACTGACGTAACCTGAATTGATAATTCTCATTCTACCTTATTACAAACCTATTTAATATTTCTTTTCCTTCTACCTTATCTTATAACTTATTACCACAATATTCCTAAATACCCTGCTATAAATTTATAACTCTTATGAAATTATTTCACAATATTTTAAAATTTTTGTTATTCATATCCCAATAAATAATCTATCATTTTATCAACCATATTACTAATACTTACATTTACTTTTTCTATACTTTCTTAACCCATGACTCTCATTACCGACTGACTAAAATCAATAGGGACCAAGGTAGCACTACCTATTCCCTCAATAAGGGAAATAGGCAGCACTACCTTTTCCCCGTAATTCCCAACCCACTCCGGACAACACTAGCCCTACTCGATGAGTGAGGTTGTTTTTTTTATGTATAATTGTGTATGTATTTTTGCTGTCTGTTATCTGTTGCCATTCCAACAGGTGCTAGGGAAAACATACTAGCAAACACCTGGGTAGGATCCGTAGGTCTGCAAGCCTGTGCATAATAACGATTTCCTACCAAGGTTTGTATTGTTTTTCCACGATTGTCAGTCTTTATCTATGTTGTATTGTAATACCGTTTTTTTAATTTGTCCACATGTTGTACTATACTAATAACAGTTACCATTAAAACAGGTGCTAGGGAAAATATACTAGCATACACCTGGGTGGGATCCTGAGCTCTACACGCACATGCCGAGTAAAGATTTTCTCTTATGGTAATTGTTGTCCTTGTTTAATTGTTCCGCCTTGTTCTTTGTTACTTGTTTACTTATCATTTTGGGCTCTAATTTTGGCCAAATTGAGCCCCTTTCGGCTGTCAACTCACAAATGGCCCTTGAAACTCTCGATTGGTAATGTTATGTTGTTGTGTTATTAAAATACTTCTCCTATTAACAGCCTTGAACTCAAAAGTTTATGGGACACATTAGTCCCACTCATTTGACTTAACTTTAGACCAACTATACGCTTAGTATACAAATTTTAAACTATAATAAGCTTCGGTCTATTCACAGCTCAGGTTTATTTGATCCGTATGAGATAAACTCATTTTTGGCTTTTCTTTCTTAACTCACTGGTTATACTCAACCAATTCAACAACGGTTGTTTGCTGTGTGTGTGTTCCTGCAGCCTTAGTGCCCTACTACGACGGAATGATTCAACAAATACTACATTGATGCAGCTGCGTCCTGGAGCCCTATTCAAAACAAAACCCTTATAAACCATCCCCTGTAAGAGCTCTGGGGCGGGCTCTATCGTATCTACGATCGACTACCAGATCGTCATTGCTGCTACGTCATGCCCACTCTGAAAATATATTTCATAATTGCCACAATTTTAAATATTCCAAAATAGTGGTGCACGACTCCGGGGCAATCTCTACATCAACTGCAACAACTTGCACAGCATCTACCAACAACAACTAAAAGAACTTCAATACAACACCGCAAGGACATCGTCAACACTTCAGAGGCTACGATAGACCATCCCCTATGAGCAGAGCTACACACTCTATGTTTCCATATTATTTATGGTTTCTCTTTTTGTTACCTGTGGCCATTTCAACAGGTACTAGGGAAAACATACTAGCAAAAACCTGGGTGGGATCAGGGGCTCTGACAGCCCATTCGGAGTGACGATTTCCCACCATGGCTTGTCCTGTATAGTCACTTTGTTCGCTCGTCTTGTTTCGTGTGACGATGGGTGCTACAAACAGGCGCTAGGGAAAATACACTAGCATGGTCCTGTGTGGGCTCATGAAACCTACAAACCTATGTGGGGTACAGAACTCCTGCCGTGGCACCCGTCTCTACGCTTTCACTGTCAGGTGTGGCCCTGCGGACCTTGCTGTGGTGGTGGCTCTTCTGGTGCTCTTCTTCCTGATGATGGCTTGGGTGGTGTTCGTTCTCGGCGGACTGTGTGAATATAATGTACAAGTCAGGGTCTTAAGGTTTGATTAGTAGCGAAAAAGCCCGGCCTAAGGCCTAGTGCCTCCATGTGGACCCGGGCTGACGGCCAACCACATAGGGGGCTATTGGAGTTCTCTGCCTTCGGGTAGGGAATCTCTGGCCTCGTGCGAGGCTTTAAGAGTCGTCAAGCGGGATGCATATACGACTATAATTTCCAACCGAATTGAATCGGGACAAGTATTATATACCTTGTCATTCAAATACGATCTAGTTGACTCTTATACTGGGTCCATATAACGGTGTGAATAATTTAGGATTTTGTTAAATTCAAGTGATATAGGTCATTTTAGGTCACACTATGAAATACTTTAAGCATATAGGCCTACACGATGTTTTTAATCAAATACAACATACACATTACAATTTTGTTTATGGCAAAGATGATTTGCTCTTGTTACAGAAACGAAGAGATGACTGGAAGGTACAAATTTGTTTTGCTGTGTTACAATTTTCAAAACAAAGTCTTGTCTTGATTGAATTAGAAATGCCATTAAGGTACATATAGGAAACGAAGCTTAAGGAGAAATATTGACGAATTGCAAATTCTTTATTTACTTCTTAATTTATTTTATTCTTTTTCCTGTGAGACAGGTTGATTTGGGATTGAGAAGTGGTGCTGTGGGGATGAATCAGGACCACTTAAATTCTGTGATGTAATTGAACAAATGTCTGATATATCTTATGTCGTAACATAAGATCCAGATCAGGTTACAACTGATGATTTTAAATTTTAGATCTCTATTAAAAAAGAATGTCTTCTGGTGGGGTTAATTGACACACATGTTAGGAATTTAATAGTCAATATTTTATATGAAACTGGAGGAAGACGTGAGTTCAATATGACTTTTTCTTATCAACAATTATCAAGCTTTTCCTTGAACTAGGAGTCACAGTCTAGTATATACTTACGTGTGGGACTGTAAGGCTTGGTCTAAAACAATGATGATTACAAATCAGGACCAAAGTCGTGACACATCCTTTATGGACATTATCTCAGTCTTCCCACTTACAAACATTCCATCCTTTGAGTCATACTGTATTGAACTCTTTTATCATTTGTTTTATTGTTTTTAGCGTTATTCAGATTTGCTTTTGTATGACTAATCTTCCCACATCTTTAATCATCGCTGGTGTTATGCAGAAACTGAGAGACAGAAAGAACTGTATGGCGGTTGATGAGATTTAAAACAAGGGACACCATTCAAGATGATATACTATCTATGTCGGCCAGCGCTTTTGGCTGCTAGCTTAATGGACTGAGAAAATGGGATTTGGGGCTACAGTTTATCAGCAATCTAATTCTTTCATCAGGTTGTGCGTAACTGGTTAAGCGTAAATTTTTATTGCAACGATAGCTAGAACCATACCTTTCAGTAGAGTGCCAACAATCCTTGATAGAATGTCTATTAAAATTCAAACCAGCTATTGAATTTTTATTTTTGCTTACTTAATGTTCTAAATATTGTCCTAATATGAGTGACATTGCCTAAGTACCTCCGCTGTCTTAAGCTATTTAAGAACTAAAAAGAATGAAAGGAAAACGATCGGGCTAAAACACAGCACGAACACGTGATATTCCGAACTTTTTTTTTTTTTCTTCTCTCTTTGAGATTATTTAACGTTATTGACAGAATATATGAATGAAATGTCACTGCTTCACCGCAGACAATGAGAACAGATCCCAGTGGATAAAACACGCCATGATAAACAAACGCTATGACCTGTTTGGCTACAAGTAAGCTAGCCACGGATTTATGCATTGTATAACGTAGATTAGACATAACGGACGTTTTACCTCTTGATACGTTGGTCAAGATGTAACGGTATAGTATCGGTCACTTCTTTGTTTTTGGCTTTAGATACCAAATGAGGGTCAATAAATTGGATAGATAATAAGAGAAAGCTTTAATTAAATAGTGGGTTTCGGTAAAAAAAAAAAAAAAAAAATCAGCTTTTATAGCAATAATTAATAAATATTATCTCTATTCAAATGGGATGTGCCATTAAATCCGTGATAAATTCTAGACATCTGGTGCAAAAACAATTTTCATTAACTCAGTGATAAATTCTGGACAGTTATTGCAAAGACACATGCCCTTAACTCTAAGAAAGCCTGAAAAGTAATATGTCTGCATATATATATATATATATATATATATATATATATATATATATATATATATATATATATATATATATATATATATATATATATATATATATGAAAAATATATAGATTATATATATATATATATATATATATATATATATATATATATATATATATATATATATATATATATATATATATCTGCGCAGATACTATTATAAGAAATTTTTAAAAGAAACAGACAAATAAGTTACTATGGCCATGCTATAGGAATCTTTTCCTGCATGTTCCGTGTATAAACCGCTCCGGTGGCTTAGTGGTTAGAGCGACAGCCTCCGATGCTGGAGATCGCGGGTTCGATCCCCGGTCGAGTTATACCAAAGACTTAAAGAAATGGTACTAAGAATTGCCTCGCTTGACGCTCATTAAGAGGTTAGTGTTAAGACCTGTCAGGCTTGTGTCAAGATAATGTGACTATGTGGGACATCATGCTACATGTCTGCGACATGATGCCCCAGTGCTAGACATCACTATAAACTGCCACATTGCAGACATCGTAGTGATAGGACAAAAAAAAAACTGTTAAAGATCATAATCACATCGCACAATCACTGTTCCGTGTATAATCATATCTTAACACTAGTAGTGTAATTTCAAATTTCTTTTAGTTTGACACGCTTTACTGCATACAGATTTGATATAAATTCACCAACGGCATTTACTTGTCTTATAGTTCAAGTTTATGAACCTTGCTTTACGGAATAAGCAATTTTGTATTTTAATAATGATAAGCAATCTACTTAAAGAATGACACTGTTACCGAGTTACAGCGTGGTACATACGGTGCAAATAGGTTTAATGCAGGTAATAAACCGCATATTTTTGTTGCGCACAGTCTATTACATTTAGTTTTTCTTTCATCCATATTTTATTTCAATAATAAATTATACAACTGTTGGGAACTCGTGGGTTTGATACATTAGAACCTCGTAATTGAATCCTCCTAAACCAAATCTTCAACTTATCTAACCACTTTCACGTCCCAAAACGTATACTCGAACTCTTGAAGATACCAACGGTATTCATTCTTCAAGAAGTTCAAATTAAAAGTAATTGAACTTTAATTTGAGATGAGATTATTTCTTCATTAATCCATCCGAACAACGTAAACTACTACTACACGATCTAATTCTTGGTTGAAACAAAAGGCCTTGTTGGCCCTGAAATCCCCCATCTTGCTGAAATCAGGTCAGTCTGCTCATAGTGAAATGGAAGAGCAGGTACCCCCAAAACTATGGGCGAGTATGATAATTACTTTCAAAATTTCTTCAAAGTTTGCTGATTGGTATCCCCCATTATTCTATCTTAATTCATTTGACAACATTTTTTAAACAAATTAATAAAATGGCTTCTATACCATGTTTCCTGTCAGATTTTGCTAAATTTCTGTTGGACAGTTTTTAAAAAGAAAATAGTTATTTTTTGGCTTTTTTACAATCCATATTCGATAGCAGATCAGAATCATTTAGACAAAACTGAACGTGTTTCAGTTAGTATGTTTTCTGTAAAAATTTACTGAAAGATGAAAGACTGTTTAGAGAAGTGGCTTTGGTAGATTTCTGACGGTCATATTGGATGGCAAAGCTTTATCATTGGTGTATATTTTTAAAGTCATTGTCCATTAAACCCGTGAGAGACAAACAAGAATTTCACTTATACTTTAGAATTTGGCAAAGAGAGGACAAGAATGAAATACAGTCTGGAAGAAGAGTTGCTACAGTGTTTCTCCTTCTTGAAGTCAATCCAAATTATAAATTTATTGGCGATTATAATTTATACAAATATGCACGTTTGTGTTAAGAGTGATGCAACAGGAAAATATGTAAATTCTGTAATGCCTGCTTTTCCGGTACATAATCCACGGACATCTTATAACCATTTTGTCCAGAAAAGTAATAAGGTCCTAATTACAACCACAATTTCCTTGTTAAGGGCATAGAAAGATGTGAAAAGTACAAAAGCTATCACGCAACGCTGTCTTGTAAAATGAGATACATATAAATGTAAAGAATGATAAATATTATATTTTACTTCTACCAACATGTACTGTTTTCCCTGTGGCGTTGATAAATTTAAACACTAGCAATACAATGTAATTAAGTGACTCTATGTACGCCCGAGTTTCTGACGTGTACGTACGTGCGTACGTTTGTGTGATTTAGATTTTTAACGTAGCTTTGACAATTTTTCAGTCATATCGCTACGATTTCTGTGTTGTGACAGTTTATTGTGATGTCTAGCACTGGGAAATCATGACACAGACATATAGCATGATGTCCCACCCAGTCACATTATCCGGACACCAGGCCGACCAGTCCTAACACTAACATCTTAATGTTGAGCCCAAAGCGAGGCAGCTGTTAGCACCCTTTTTTGAAGTCTTTGGTATGACTCAGATGGGGTTCCAACCCACGACATTCCGCATCCAAGGAGGACGCTCTAATAGGCCACCTGAGCGGTATGGCGCCGGTTGCCAAAGCACATATGATTACTGGACACATCTGTCTTGACATTATGCTTGACCACTCACTTTTGCTCACGTATCACCTTCAAATTTAGCTGACGTTCATAATAACAATTTTCATAAATCTGGCAATGTGTCAATACAATGTCCGATGCGCAAGCATTATAATCTACACTTATAATTCAAGATGGCTATCTATGGATCAGTCATTGTCAACTACGTTTTAAGCAAATTATTGCTTTTTCTATTTAAATAATATTGTTTGATTTACACTAGCGTTTTGCACAATTCCACTGAACCTCTTTTTCACCTTAATTTTGCATAAAAAGGAAACGGAAGGGTATATCATAACTATAAAAAAGAGAATGATATGATATGATAGCATAAATAATAATAGATTCTTCCCGTGTACACTATTATATTTCTTTTGTGCACGATGGATAGACCATTCCCCTTTTAAATTCAACCTTTCTTTCGATATAATGTATAAGGGACTGTCCAGCATTGTCTTGCACGCTGTTATCTTTATATCGTCTTGACAAGTACACCATTCTCTTATTATAAAAACCTTTCTTTTACGACATTGAAAAAGTCAGTCCAATAGCTAAAGCAATTCAAAGAAACTCGTACGTAACAATACCTATTTGGGATCCTTTAAAGCCATCCGGCAAAACAGGATGTCCCAAGTTCTGTGATACATTACGTATAATGTTGTTGCTGCTGTTGTTGTTTTGGAGCTTTACGCCATTTTTCAGCACACGATAGACTATACATAGTGCCCAGTATTAATGGTGAAGGAAGTAACCAGGAAGTCCCAGGAAAGAACCACAAACCCACAAGAAGCTCACTGGCAAGCTTTCTCACATATCCACATTCGCCGAATCCTAGACTCGAACCCACACAGACAGAGGTAACGGAGAGCGCTTAGACCACTCAGCCACTCAGGGTCCCCGTATAATGTGGTAGAAATAGCTGAAAATATGAAAGTCTTTCTAAATTTAGATAAGGTACTTATGCTATTATATTTATTTATATTTGTGAAACATACATGCATATCATAAGGTGAAAAAGACAATATGTTCATATTTATACTAGTTACAGTCCTATGAAAGAAAAATGTTTTTTTAAGGAGCTAAAAGTTATAGCGTTTGTACCTTACAACCATCTAGACAAAATAGCAGTTAAACAAATCTGTTAAAAGTTTGTTTTGTAGAGCATGTATACAGAATTAGTTGACCTTTTGAAAAATTGACGTTACCTTATTCTTTGCCTGTGTCTTACTCGAGAATTCTCCAGTGTTTGATAGTTTTCATAAATAAGATAGTGCACTACATGTGAATGAATATTTGAAATAGTATCGACCTCTCTCTATAAAATACCTATTTGTACCTATCCCAATTAAATAACTATTTGTACTTATCCCGATAGAATATCTATTTGTACTTATCCCGATAAAATACATATTTGTACCTATCCTGATAAATACCTATTTTATCGATCCAAATAGAATGACTATTTGTATTTATCCCGATAAAATACAAATTTGTATCTATCCTGATAAAATACCTATTTGTTCCTATCCCGGTAGAATGCCTATTTGCAGGTCCATATAGAGCGATCACGGGACCTGGGGTAAGAAACTCCTGGGCATCTTCTATTTTTTGTTCAAACAAAATTTGTCTTTCATAAGATTTAAAGTGTTGTTCAGCCCTGGCTCCCTGACGGGCCCAGGCCCTGGGAATATATTCCCGGTAGCCCCTCCCCCCTGTCGATCCTGCCTATCTGTACTTATCCCAATATAATGCCTATTTTTACCTATCCCGATAGAATACCAGTTTGTACCTATCCCGATAAAACATCTAGTTTTACCTATCCGTTACAATATCTATCTGTACTCATTCCGATAAATACCTTTTTTGTGAGAAGGGAGCCTAATATCCAACATGGTGCGTTAAGAATAATATCACATCAGACATTTTATATATTTATCTTATATTCTGATAAATTCATACGAAACAAAACTTCCTTCCAAATTTTAAATGCTAATAACTGTTGAAACGCTTTAACATAAATGTGTAAGGCTGTTGGAATACGCGTTATATTTCCCATTTTATGTCAAGATAATAACAGTTAACTAAAATGATAGGGACCAGTGATGGCTCAGATCACGTCAATTATAAGATTTGCGGACTCTGACATTGCTAGCATAAGTGATTCGGTCATTTTTTTTGTTGCTTTTTTAATGGAGCCAATGCTGTCTAAGAAAGAACATTTTAATCATATCATGTACAAACGTTTTTTATGATGTGTTTTTTCCTTATATTACCTAGAAACGTCTAAATGTCGTTTTTGTCCTTATATTATGTGCAAAATTCTTTATACGCAGTGCTTGCGTCCTTTCATGTAGTACTTTCGTCCTGATATTATGACGTACTTTTGTCCTGATAAATTACTGTATATATCGAAGAATAAGACAATATAACCTTAGTAAATGTGACTTCTCAGATGACATTGAATTCGAATTTATCTTATTGACTGAGCTTGAATATTTTTATTTTACAATTATTCTCATTTTATTTCAGTTTTTTATATTCAATTGAAAGTTACTTAATTTGTTTTAATTTCATATATTTGGCAGGGAGAGTTTTCCATGGGTGTCAGTACAATCCTCTCTGTTTCAGAAAGTATATATTGTAGAATTTTTAAAAAAATGACACTTCAGTAAATTAGACTTCCCGGACGTCAACGAAGAAACACTTGACTTGTCAGTAAGAGTTCCGACATTGTGGTGAAACAACGATAAGACAAATCCTGTTCCACAGAAATTTCACGTTTGTTTTATTATTGTTTTGATCGCACTTTGATGACACTTAAGATAGCCACTGCCACATAGGTACTGTATACATGAAAAAGAAGTTTGCACCAAATAATATGACGTACGACGAAATATAAGGGTTTTAGTATATATATATATATATATATATATATATATATATATATATATATATATATATATATATATATATATATATATATACTAAAACCCTTATATTCCGTCGTACGTCATATTGTTTGGTGCAAACTTCTTTATATATATATATATATATATATATATATATATATATATATATATATATATATATATATATATATATATATATATATATATATATATATATATGTGTGTGTGTGTGTGTATATAAATATATATATATATATATATATATATATATATATATATATATATATATATATAGTGTGAAAATCTCGAGAGAAAACATTCCAGCTTCTGGCAGCTATCGCTAAACGTTTTTGTTCAATACAGCCCTCTAGCGTCGATAGTGAAAGAAGTTTTAGTACCGAATGTGCTATTTTCAGCGACAAACGATCGGCATGTCCGCTGAAAGAAAAACGGAGATGCTACTATTTCTTGCAAAGAACTTGGAAGTTATAAATTTTGATTATTAAATTTCTTTATTATCTATTAAATTGCGTGCGTCATGCCCATGCGTTTTAAAATATTCTAATAAATTTAAATCTTTCGGTCTCACTCGAGTATTATCGTTTCACCCCGTTGTGTTGACCATGTTGGACTTTTCTGACTTCTTATTTAACTTTATTAACGCACTATCAAATGACGCAGTGTTAGACACGGTGCTATAGAAATTCAACTAATTTATTTTTATTAATCGAATCGGTTGTTTCTGCCTTATCCGACTCCGATTAATCGGAAGTTCATACTATCTGGTGTAATCCGATTTCCGGATCAAAAGTCGGTTATGCCGTAGTTTTTAGTTTTACTAAATGACATATGTACAAAAAATACGTAAAGAAGTGTGCACATCGTATAAGGGACAAAGTACCGCAAATAAATAAATTTGCACATCGTATGAGAACAAAGGGACCTATATAAAGGAGTTTGCATTTCATGTAAGTGACAATTTTTATCTTAAGAGGGTTTTCTTAAATTTTCCTACACTGTGTGAATATATCTTGAGGGTGAATGGCTCCTTGATAGACGATGCAGGTGGGGCTGACAGTGAGATGAAATAGTATGACTAGATTTGTGTGTTTTGTGCATATTTAGTGATGTTAATTAAGCCACTCAATTAGTCGTGAACGTCTCTCATGTATGAGCAAAACGTATGTTTCAACAAAGTAAGAAAAGAATTAGAAAGAATGTCCAGCTACCTTAATGTGATGAATAATGTTAGAATATGAAAAAGATAACGTAATGAGCACTTCAAACAAAGTGCAAGCTATAAACAAAGCAAAATTCAAATCCAAAAATACATAAGATAAAGTTCAGTGATGACAGATCCAGAAACTATAATGGCAAGTAGTAAAGTCATTGAAAATGGGTCGCAAGTTCGCAACTTTCAAAACGGCATATTGTATATATCAAATATGCAACTTTTATATCTTCAGGGTCTTTAATATAGAGGCAAAAATTTATGTAAATTCTCAATAATCCAGTTGTAGAGTCAGATTTTATTTTTCAAAGCATTCGAAATCTAACTCCTGGTCGCTAGAGAAGACATTCATAGTATACCGAATGAAATGCTTGGTCTTTCGTCGAAAGCCACGGGCAGGAATCCGCTACGCTCTTTTACCACTCTAATTGAAAATACAGAGGTTTCCACATTTCTAATGAATATGCATAAACCTGCTGTACCAATAAGCGAATGCGAGTAAACATTTCACGCCATTGTGACCCAATAAGACTTTTAAGCTGTTAGAATAAGTCAGTTTCCCCTCCATACACAGTCTCGTATAAAGGACACTAACATAAATAAGTAGGAGTTTTAACATGGTTTTACTGATGACGTATTTTTATTTATGCATACTCATGGAAAACGAAGACGAAATCTCAGTACAGACAGTCACGGCGATAAGAGAGCGCAGCGGATTGTCATCCACGACATGCGACGAAGTGGCTGGCTGTCACGTTGCCGAAGGGAATTTTCTTAGCCTGTTTGGCGAAAACGCTGTGTCCTTTACACA